CGCACTAGCCATCATCTCATTTCGCCCTCCCGAAAAGAATTCGTCCACAAGCCGAAAATAATACGTAGCGAATGAGTTAAAGATCTATACTGACCACATTTAAACAAAAAAAACGCAACATTTAGATGATTAACGTTATTTCTTTAATAAACTTTCGTAACATAATTTTCTAAAATTTCCGTCGATTGACGCCAACTTCCATGGACCCCTGTATGCTGCTGCTGTTACACATGCTGTTTCAAACTGTTTGGCATCGGTTCCGCAAATGAGACAGAATGTATAATTTAATGATAAATATATGCCGACGTCTTGTTGGTTGGTAGTTATGCCTGGTTGGCTATTTTATTTTCTCCACAGAATTCTACACTTCTACATTCTGTGATTTTCTCTAAACAACATTGCCAGTGGTTCTTTTTCTTCCAACCAGCCTTGAAGGTGTGCTAGAGTTGAACCTGAGGCTTCCAGCTTCTCTAAGTCACATCCCTGATTCCAGAAGGCCGAATATAATAGGAGTGCTTGTTGTGGTGAGCGGTGCTAAATCTAGGCATACTAGCAACAAGTCATTATCAAGTCTGCCTGAGCCATTTTTTTTTTCTCGTAATTTTACTCACCCTCATGGTCTCACCACAAAGGCCCTAAATTTGCATTGTTTTGGGGCAATATCTGGCCTATTAAAAAAATTAACAATCACAAAATTCCCTATGAAGGGGGGCGGGGGGCTACACCTGAAGGCTATCTCGCTTATTACTGGACCGAATTTTACCAAATTTCAAACATATAACAAGCATAGTAAGGAATCTTAAAAACCGCAATCGAATTTGACAAAAAAGTTTCGTTTCCATGGATACGGCGGTCATATTGGATTTTATTGACATGTCTTAAGTAATGAATACCGCACTTACTGCTCATGGAAATTGATTGGGGTTCTTTTTTTTTTTTTTGCATGCGTGTTAACAAACATTAAATCTAAAAATTTGCCTCTTTTTTTTCCCTAAACGAATAAAAAAAAATTTTAAGAATATTTTTCTGAAAATCCGTGAAGATTCACACTCCAGACACCACCAACAAAAAACTATCCAAATATAAAAAATTCAACAGACACATTTTTAGTATAACATCTTCTCTTCATTCTGTGAAAATTTCGTGAAGATTGGACGATAAATGGTGGAGTTATTCAAAAAAGTATTGAGAAAAGTCGCGTT